GCATCCTTTCTAAGTGTGATTTTTTTATTTGTTTAACAAAGCTTTTTGAAGCTCAGGCAAACAATTTTTCTTACATTTTTTTATTGCAAGTGGTTTAGAGATCTTTTTGAAAAATATATTCTAAACACACGATGTGCTGATCATCATTGGATCAAGATTTAGAGTTATTGATAATCATCTTTGATCTAAATATTTTCAAATGTCGAGATGCAACTATCAAATTTTTAGTAAAACATTTTTAATCAATTAATTTTCAATATTTATACTTTCTTGATGTTGCTTTCTTTGTTTGTGATGTTACGAATACCTTCTTGCACATTCTGTATTTCTATTAACGAGTTAGAATTTTCACGCATGGCGTTGATTCCAAAAATTAAATTTATTATTATTTAGTTTATCGATAAATTGTACAATCGTCAATAGTTTAAAAACATATAATAGCAAACTGTTATAAAAAAATATATAATATAATATACAATATCGTATAGATTTTGAAAATATCTTTAATATTAATCGTTCGAAATGTGAAATTTGCGAAATGAAAATGTTAATTAAGAAGTCCATAAAAAAGAAATTTCTTGGAAAGAAATGAGGAAAAAAAAGAGATAAAAATATTAATGATTAAATATATACACAAATATAAAATACATTTAAAAATACTAAAATATATATTAGAAATTACATAGATTGAAATTCAATTTCATTTACTACACTTATATTTAAATATCATAATTTGCCTGTTATTTATCTATCTATGATACATTTACCTATGTAATATATATCTATATTATTTGTCTAACGAGATTTGTTTCTTTTAATTAAAAAATCATTATATTGCATGTCTTTTTATATTATAAAATTACTTAATTAACTAAAATATTTCCAAAATTTAAAGATATCGCTAATTATTAATGTGAAAAAGAAAAGCAATTTTTGCGATTTTCAATATAAGAATTGTCATCAATATTATTATTCATAAGATTCTTGCACAAAATTTAAGAAAGATCAAAAGTCATGATGAAAAATTAAGTTTCAGTATTCTTTTGATTTATCTTTAAAACTATAAAAAGTTTTTATATTTCTATCTAGTATAGGTACATGATGCATAGTGTTAATAACATTCGTATTTTCATATGGAATGTCCTAGCCATTCGCTCTGTCACAATTTTTCCCTTTTTCTGTTCAGTTAATTTCCTCCATTTTTTTTTCTTTCTGTTTGTTTTCTCACTATTTTTTTCTCTTGTTTTTAATTAATTATAATTTAATATATTTTTTAATTATAATTTAATATATTTTTTTCACAATTTTATATAAATTATATAAAATAAATTTTTATATGAATAATAATAGAAAATGAAATTTTAAAAAACAAATTGAACAAATATATAATTAATGTATTTTCTGAGATTAAAGAAAATATTCTTTAGTACACGTATGTATGTCATTTTTGTTCTTTCTTTTCTATTTCTTATGTCTTTTTCTATTTCTTCCTTTATTGACTTCATGAACTTCACTGAACTAAGTCTTTTTTTAATCTAGAAAAAGTACTGCAACGAGGTGGTACAGATAATCGCATTAAACTTTTAATATATCTTGTTTAAAATATTATTGTGACAAGATATTTTAGTATTATATTTTTAATTATAAATGTCTTAAATTGATCAACATTCTTCTCGTTTCTTTTAAAAATTTCTATGCTCTCAATTGAAAAATGTCAAATCAATTCATTTCTAAATATATTTAAAGATTTTAAACAAAGTCTCGAATAGAAATGTCAGATATTTAAATCAGGATTCAGTTGATATTTTAAAATAATCAGATTATATACAAATAGATATCTACTACATTTGAAATATCAATACTGTATATAAATATTTATTCTATGAAACTTCATCTCGTAAAGATAATATTTCTTATTGAATTCAACTTGAAATAATTTGCTTTATTAATATTCGCGAAATTCATTATTTCATAAAGATATAATAAAATATTCGATAAAATTTCTTAATAGCCATAATTTGTCATTACACTTATAAATAATATAGCATAATTATAGAGTATTTATGTTTTATCTATAAACTCATTATCCATATGACCAGTGATGTAAATTTCAAGATTATTAAATTTTGCTTAAAGTTCCAATAAAGAGGAAAACTATCAAAATTATAATTAATTTATAAAGTATCGTAAACAATTAATTAATGTCAAGATTGTTAAACTCTATCGCAAATGTCTTAATAATAACTAGATTTGCGCCATATTGAATGGAAGAAACTGTTCCATGTGGTGATTGCATTTCATAAATTTAATCGTTTAACACAACTGCACTGCTACTATTATCAAAACAAATAAATTGTTTTAAAATAAATAATAGAAATTTAATATAATGATTTTCAAAATCTTTGATATGTATTCATTAAACTAATTAAATAGGATATATTGTATGTTAATGTTTTAATATAATGATTTTTTTTTTTTAGATTGTATCAATCTATAAAAGTAATTATTAATTACATTATCATTTTAGAATTAGATTTTGAATTTAAATAGAATGGAAGCTTATATTTTAAATGTAAAATGTAAGAAAATAATTACTATTTTTGATATTAGTATTTTAGTTCAGAATCCAAACTGAATATAAAACATTGTTATATCATTGTCAACTGATATTAAATGTAAAAAAACAATGTTTATTTTATGTTTTACGTTTAAACAGACAATTTACACGCTCATGTCTCTGGCATATAAGAAATGATATATCAAATCTAAATAATTCCATATATATGTTTGTAATTGAACATGAATTTATATTTATATTTTATGAATTTTATATTTATTTCCACAAAATCTTAACTAAAATCGATATTGATCCAATTTAAAATTGTAGTTATATCATAATGTATTAAGAATACAATATTATTTGTAAAAATTATTATTTTATTGTTTCATATTTATTAATATTCTCATAAAATAAATTTTATACTTCTATTGATTATTATATGTTTTAGGACAAATAATTTCTAATTTCTAATTTTTAATTTCTAATAAATAGTTTCTAAATATTTAAATTTTAGACATTTTTTGAAATATGGACTATTTTGAAATTATCCTACATGTAATATATAAATATTTTTTTGAAAAATGAATTAATGAATTAACTTTTTTTTTCTTCGTTTTATTTGCCTATTTAGTAGTATAATGTTACAATACTTCAAATTCAATAATGTAATATTGTATTTTTCATAGATTTTTTTAAAAGAGATATTTTTATAATAAATATAATTTTTACTTTATTATGAAGTATATTATTATACAATGTTTAACTCATTTTATTTAAATAAAATAAATTAAAATTAATATTTGTCAGTTATATATCGTATGTTCTTTTTAGAATCTGTGACCTAAAACAGAATTAATATAATAAATTTATTTAATTATATATTTTTAATTATACATATAGCATAAGTATCATAATTTTTAATTAATTTGTTCTTTTTATAAATTTATAGAATTTAATATTTAATAAGTTTATTTTGAAAATATAATGTGAAGAATACAATAAAAGAACAAAAATTGCGTTATTCCATTCGCTTCACTAATTCAAATTCAAATCATTATGCAATTTTTATAATATACATGTAATATTAAATAAGATTTATGAAAGAAATTTTAAATCACCAAAACATCAAAAAGAACTTTTATAAATAATACATAATTTTTATAATTTATAAATAATTTATAAATTATGTTTGTGTATTGTAAATAGATTTTGTACAAAAATTATTTATTAAGATAAACATATATATGTGTAATTATTATGTGTAATTTTATTGAAAATATTTTATACTGATTGAATCAACATAAAATACAATACAAAAACAAAGAAGATATATATCGATACAAAAGAGAAAAAAAATGTTAATAGTAAAAATTCGTAACCTAAAATGAATACATAAATTCAAATTTTTAATAATAAGATAAATATATGAATAAAAGATAGAAATATAATTGTACACTTTATATTTAACATTAAATTACTACAAAATAGAATTTTTAAAATATTTTCATTGCATATTTAAAAAACTATTTTTATTTACATTGAATATATCTATTATTAATTGATAACTGTCACTTTTTGTATCATTTTCAGTGACATTAATATAGATATATCATATATCTTAAGTATATTGTTTTATAATGTAATAACTGAAATAGATACATCATTTCTATGTCTTGTTAAACATTTAATTGAAATTTCCAAATTGAATTTATGTAAAAATAAAAGAATATGAGATGTGAAAATAGAAATAAAATAATTAATTAATAGAATTGCAACGTAGAATACAGTTATTTTAATGATATCTGGAAATTATATCATTAATTATATTTTGATCAGTTCAAGGAAGACTGGCTTAAAATATTTTCATGAAATAATTAATGAACTATATCTACGCTTTTCTACCATCCATCATATATTTTACTTTATTTAGTTTATTTTAGATTTAAAACAGCCACATAATTGATTTATTTATTATGAAAGTACTTTATATTTCTTGAAAATTTATCATATTTATATTAATAATCCAATTATGCGAAAAAGCTTTTAACCATAAAAATGAAAATCACAATTAATGAAAAATTATTAAATTATTTAATCAATTAAATTTTTTAAGTTGTAAATTATCGAATCAAAAATCGAACGAAAATAATAATCTGCAAGACAAATTTTGTTACAAAATTTATTTATCAGTTTAAATATATTAGAAAGCAATTTCTGTTCACTACTTGTCATGAATAAGATTTAAATATTACTATAAAAGACAAATTTTATTCTTATATTTTAAAAATCATAAATAACAATAAAAAAAGAAATTTCGCCTTTCGTTTAATCAATGGAACATATACATTCGCATAATTCGTGATTACTCGAGGAACACCCGTTAAGCCACACACACAGAACAGAAACCAACGAGCGCATAAAATCAGACTATCGACTTCCGCAATCGAAATCCAGCGTGTACAATTAAACGTTTGGCACCCGAATCGTCAAAATTCCAAAAACGTGAATGGGTCTCTCTATAGTGGAGGCGGTGTGCGATTGCAATGAAAGCAGCACATCGTCTCAGACCTTAAAATGTTACATCACAACGAAGGATCTCCTACCATCATGCAAACCACTCATAAAGGCCACAATGAACACAAGATGCACTTTTCGTCGCATGATAATTTCTACTCTCATAATAATCATAATCCTGGCTATTATATATTGTTTGTCAATCTCTGGACAACACATACAAAATATCGGTAGAAATTTAAGAAGCCAAATTCAAGCTCGAATTAACGAACCGCTACCTAGAATATTACAATTTCGAACAATAGAGATTCCTAGATCGGAGGCAGAGCCAGAGTCAGAGGCAGGGTCAGAGCCAGAGCCAGAGCCAGCGCCAGAGCCAGCGCCAGAGCCAGCGCCAGAACCAGCGCCACCTCCACCAGAGCCAGAATTAGACGTAGATATAAGAGATTGAGTTAAAAAATATCAAAAGACTAACAGAGAATTCTGAAGAATTCGAAGAAACGTATTAGAATTAAAATAAATGTGAGTATTTTATTTTTATCTATGAGAATGAAAATATTTTAGACGAAATATTTTGCGACGAAATGTCATTTGAATAGTGAATCTTTCTTTTTATTAAAATTCGAAATTTCTCTCTTGTTTATAGATTTAAGTAGAGATCGGTTCATGACATTTCGATATATATACGAAGAGGTTAGGAATATCGATAATTCCGATATGTTCGTAAATAATTCTTATTATTTTATTTTATATAAAACAATATTCAATGATAAATATTAGAAAATGGATGTTTAGATGGAAGATATTTCGTCAATAGTATCACATAAACGAAATTTGTATTGTGATATGATATCTTATCTCGTTATCATATTCGAACAATACAGTTTTATAAAGTATCGAAAGTATTTTAAAATTTATATCCCAATAAGGACGATTAACATAAATAAGAACAAGAATCAATATTTTAAATACTTTACGAAACAAGATTTCTACTCTACGAAACAAGAAGAGGTTATTCTATACTATACTATTCTAGGTAAATATTTTAACAGGTAAATATTTTAACAACTTTTACTTTTTTTTTTATTTCAAATGCACATTTGATATTCTTTGAAATCATTAATTAATTCGATCAATTTAATATCTTCATCAGAATAAACACAAATTCCATGTGGATTTACGTGAACGATCAAAGGACGAGTCGCAAAATTTGGACGCATGCGTATAAATTTGAAAGAAAAAAGAAGAGAGGAACGTTTGATCCTGGATAACGAATGTGAGAAGTATGATGCGTTGTATATATAACTTGCGTGTACATAAATCCGTGTCCGAAACAGAGCGAGGTTGAAGTACATTTTTCATCTGCAACATTATTCGGGGCGAAAGTAATATTACATTTCACGGAACAACGCCGATACGTATTCTGTGTATCGTAACAGCTGCGGACATATGGAGTGCGCATAGAGAGGAGGGATGAGAGTAGCAGAAAGAGGCGAGATCCTGTGATCCATATTTCGATTTTTCCGCACCGATCAAAGCGTATCGTATGGGTTATACGCGCTGAAAAATCAAATTCAATGGTTCGAATGCGTTTGTACAAAAGGTAAACGCTATCGCCATAACCAACGCTAAGCCTTGATTCTTGCGCGAGTGAAATTCATGGTTCTGCTACTTTATGAGTGTTGCTCACGAAAGGGAGGAGGGAAAAAATGATATAATAATTTTATTAGTATCAAATTTTTTATGAAATTTATATATATATATATAGTCTGGTAATCTTTTGTCGTGCAAATGTAAACAAATGTAATAAATATATATTATTATTATAATTGTTATTACAGTGTTTAGAATTAAGCGAATACATTTGGAAAATAAAAATATAAATTTATAATTGATCGATCGAATATAAGAAAAGAATATAAAAAGATTATAGAAAAGTTATTTAGATTAGAAAATATATTATGATATTTTCCTATGAAATCAATAATAATGAGGAAGACGACTTATATTTAAGATTATATTTTTATAATTATAATTATAATTATATGTATAATATATTTATATATATTTTATAATTATATTTTTATATTGAAGATTATATTTTTCATATTTTTATCTTCATACAAAAAACGTAATTAATTCTATTAAATCATCATAAATTATGAGATCAATGAAAATTAATGGATTAAAAAAATCGTTATCAAAGATCGTATAAATTTGCAAACATTATAACGAACATTATAATTCATATATTTTAAAAATATTAGTTCTTGCACATATTTTACACAGTCATTGCACGTATTTTATCATTATCATATTTTATGAATCAATTTCATTAATGATTTTAAATTTATTGGCATACAAAACGAAAAAAAAATTATTTTTACCAACCGTACTTGTATCTAAAATATCTTTAAAATATTTTATTTCTTCTGCAAAAATAATCCATTAACTGATAATAAAAAAAAAAAGAAAAAAGAGACAAAACACTGAAATATATAAATCATGATTAAAATCGGAATAAATTAAACAGTTCAGTTAAAATCGTCTAATTGTTCCAAAAGTAACAAAACGCGAGTAAGTTCTTCGTCAGTAATGTGATCTAGGAATGACAGAACAACACCGGCAAAGAAGAATTTGTCCACGATATCTTCCCTGAGTCGTTGACCGTCTACTTCTGGATATTCAGATCTGACGGTGTCGATGTACAACGTCAAAATTTCCTGCACCTTCGACGAGCCATCCTCATGCGTCACGTTATACAGTAGAATGGGCCCAAGATCGACAGCCGGCGAACAATATCTCATTGTTTGCCAGTCGATCACCTTCGCGCCGATCGGTTTCCCGTTCTGATATTTGAACAGCAGATTATCGTGTGAAAAATGGCCGTGACATATTGTGGAAACGTCGTTCACCTCCGTCACGATACCTTTCACGATTTCCATTGGATTCTTGTTTAATCTCCGTTTCATCTTCTCGGCAAAGGCTGAGTTCGATAAGGATTCAAGGATGTTCAACATTCTGCAATTACATAATACGTTGTGTTGCGTAATTATTATTACATAATGATTATATAATTTTTTGAAGAGAGTTTGAAAGGTAAGTAAATTTGAAACATGATTTTCACAATTAGTGGTATATAATTAGAGAGAAGATTCTGCGTATATAATATATTAAAAATTTATTGCAATCTGTATGTATGTATCTTGCAATTTTTACTGCATATTCGAAGGAATAATTCGAAAATAAAATAAAATTAAGAATAAAAATTTATATAATACAATATATCTTTGCAGTATTATATTATATATTTTAAAATATATATATTTTAATTTATATTTATAATTAATTATTCGATTTCTGCATGATCTAACAACGTAAGATGTATATATATGTTCGAAAGGTATACTGATTTACAATATGTAATTACATTAAAGTGCGTACATGAGAATTCTGAGTAATAAAAAAATTTTAATCAGAGTTCAAATGAAATAAAATATTTTTAATAATTTGTCTTATGAGATTTATTAAGATTTATTATTGTTATTCAATTTTTCTTTTTAATAAATCGAAATTGAGAAAATGAATTATAATTTCAAGAAATATCCTTCCGAAATATAAAAAATTAAGATCATTATTAATGAAATCACGAGATTATGATATTTGATATTTGAACTTCAGATTTTCTAACAAATTAATTATTAATTGATTGACATCAATTTGTTGATGATTTCAAATTCGATCAATTTTGGATTCTGTCCAGCTCAATTGCGCTTGGATTATTACACTAATACAGAAATTGCTATACCATTGGTACTGACATCGATAATGTTAATATTACCAGTCTGTGATATTAAATCGATCAACGATGAGATTATAACATATGCAATACAATATAATTTTTTTAATAATAATTAGAGACATAAATGTACATACATATTTTATATATTTTATATTTATATATTTTATAATCTAATAAAAATTTATAATGAACAATTTATAAATTTATAAATTTCACATTAGATTTATCTTCTCTTTTTTATTAGATGAAATGCAAATTCTTTTATATTATATAGATATTTACTATAATAATAAAGTTGCAAATTTAAAATTTATAATTTTTAAGTTATTGATGCAAAGGAAAAATATACAATTGATATAATCCAATAACTTTTCAAATCAATATTATAATATTTTATAATATTTTTTTATTTAAAATCGTAATTCTTATCGATATTTTTTTTTTGCAACTTTTATCATAAATCTATTAAAAATTATTTATTAAAAAAACTAAAAGATAAAGTTAAAGAAAATTTAAGATATAAAAATTCTAATAAGATATTAAGATCTTAATAATATATTTATTAAGCCCCATTGATTATAAGTATTGATAGCAATGATAACAATAAGATTTTTTAAAATTACAGTTTTAAATTTATATTGTTTGATTAAAACTCATAATAAAATTTATAATCCTTGTAACTATTCTTACTTTGTTACTATATATTCTTCGGCAAGAAAAAATGAAATGTTGTTTATTTAAATGGAATTATTAAGTAATATTAATAACACTTAATTAAAATTACAAAGATTCATAATTATTTATGTTCCTTATTAATTTCCTCATTACATGAAAGAAAGATTTTGATTGATGATTAGAAGAAAAGAACGGATACTGTAAGATGTTTGGTCATCGTTTATAGCAATATATTATTGAGAAGAAAAATTATACTGTTACAATATCTTTCTTTTGGATTTTTTTAGACACATGATTTATACTTTTCATTTTATGATAAAGTATAAGTACATTTTTGATCGTGAGAAAGATTCGATGAGTAAAATATTTCTTCTGCAAGTATAAATAGATATTTCTACTTTGGAGATTATCAATCACCATTTATAAATTTAATGATCACATAATATTTCTTTTTGTTTTTTCTTAGAATGTGAATTAATTAATTTAAAAATTTGTGATTTAAAATATTATTTAATCAAGATAAACTTTTCAAAAAACTAGTTTAAAAATATGTCTAGAATATTATCAATAAATATACTATATATTACATCATATATTATCGAAGAATATATAATAGACATAATGTCTAACATCTTCAAGAATTAATTTTAAAATTCAGCTATTATATTACTGTCATATACTTTTTATTCAATAAGACAAACCCTACTCAAATATTACTTACTCTCCTTCCAACATTTAAACAATATCATGTATATACAGATACCAACAAAATCTCTGCTTTACAATATTAGCACAAGCATTCCAACCATTTCCAAGAAAGGATCAATTACCTAGTCGATCTCTTCTCATAATGGAGCATAGCCTCCTCGGTGAGGGAAATTTCAAGAAGTTTCGCCTCGAACTCCCTGAAGATCCCTGGCTCGGTCTCCTTCAGCCTCAACCCTCTCGCGTGAAACTTGGCCAAAACTTGCACGCATAATTTCAAATGATTCTCGTCCAGTTCACCGTCAACCTGCTTGTAATCATCCTTCTCCAGATCCTCCAACACGATCACTGTCCTTCCATAACGACCCAGATCGGACAGATAACACTTTGGAACCAAATCAGGCCCGTATTTAGGGGCCATCTTCGAGTAGAACATTTCCTCGTTCTGGAACGCATCGAACGCCGTTCGGCCCGTGTGCTCTGCCCCCTCCTCTGGAAGCAATTTCAAAACTAGTGGGAAGCTACGTGGCTCGCCGGAGAACTTGACCACAACCGTGACGCGATAAATCTCGCTGCTTCGGCTCAGCTCATCGAGACGAATCGTGGCCGAGTCGAACTCGACGAATTCCCTGGAATTTGGCTCGCAGAAGTACCGATCGTGCACCATTTCCGGAAGCAATTCATGCTCGATGAAGGCGATGCTCCGCTCCCAAATCTCGTGAGACTTCATAGTTATGGAACGTTCTTCGAGATCTAGATTTCTAAAACAACGATCTCTGCACGAGTCGAGTGACTGATGATTATACATGAGTCAACAATAATGGCGGTAATGTTTTCCTTACGCTTATCGAAAAGCTTATTAATGCAACACAACGTTCGAACACGAGAACAACGAGGGTATCAAATTTTATTGGACGTTTAAAGTTCAAACGTCGCGTTGATTGATTGCGCGAGTCAACAATAATGGCGCCGGCGTTTTCTTGTAAGAGATAATGCTTTTTAATATAAGGAAAAGAGCGCAATGCTGAACTCGTGGATCGAAGCCGGTATCTACTATATCTGCTGACTGCGTCGGTGAAATTGGGACGATTTGATAACTTTCCTCGTAACGATAACGATAACGAAAATAACTGGAACACATGTACAAACTAAAATCTATATATTTTACATGTATACACTTCCTTGGTTTCACATCGATAATTCACTTTCTGGTGAATACTTGCGAATTAAATACACTGGGTCGATATTTTCGAATACTTTCTTACCGATATCGATTATTTTCGATCGACACCTATGTTAACTTCGATTGACGCGAGATTGATTCTCGTAGGGTTATGGATACGTGTCAAATCGGTCGTGATAAATCGTGTAGTATATCGGTTAACATCGATGTACGCGTCGCGACGAGTTGGTCGCAAGTGGCCAGCTGGAAATATCGTAGGAGAATCGTTACGCGTGCCGGCCCCCCTCGCTGCCAAGATAATGAAGGCTCTTATCTTCTAATGACGTCACAAACAAGCTTATTCCATGATGCGACACGGCCGCAGATGGTTTACGACTTGACGAACAGTTCGCGAATGGCTGACGCGAGAGTGAATTTACGATATTTTTGATCGATTTTAATCAGTTTAAAAGTTTGTTTGATAATTTATTAATAAATAAACTTTTTACAAAATACGAAATAAGTTATTCAATTGTGTGAATAATCGGAATATGTGTTTGTGTTAAATAATAGAACTTATTTAACAGAACATTGTTATTACGAATTATAGTGTTAAAAAATTCTATACTGAGTGAATTTATAATGTGTGATTACCTCATAAATGATAATGATTCTTAAAAACAATCGAATTAAATATTTATTTTATATATAAATAATTGTAATTATAGTGTAATTATAAATAAATATATATAATTTTATCTCAATAAATTACAGTATTAATTTTGTTAAAAACATTTTCAGTTTTTAATAATCTTTAGAAAATTCAATAATATATCTATGTGTGTATCTGTGTGTGTAATTGGCCTTAATTTTCAAACCATGTGTAAAAATGGTGATATTACATTGAAACTTCTATTGGATTTGAAAATAAAATAAAATATAAAATGTAATTGGACGATCGAAATTACAATGATATACTGAATACCAAAAATGTGCTGCACATTTTAGTGCTGGCTACCATATGTATAATAAATAAAGCACATACATGTTACCACGTGTAGAGAAAATTCAATGTAATAATGGAAATTATTTTTTGCAAATATCTCGAAAAAGAAAACAATTATATATAGAGAAAATAATATTATATACATATGTTATTTATATCTATTATTCATATATTATATGTATATATTATATATATTGTATGCTTAAAAATAGATTATATATCTAAAATCTATGAGGATATTACATTGATGTTATTTTTTTATTTTTTATATTTTATTTTTATCTATAATAATAAATATAAAGAGCATATTCTTTATACACGTATTTTTTTTAATAATATAATATATATATACATTTTTGTTTTAGAAATATTTTATCTAAATGTTTGATTATTATTATTTAATAAAATTATAAATTAAAATTCAAGTTTTATACTTTCATTTTATTATATTTTTGAGTACAACATATTTTTTATATATACATATATCCTTGATAATATTTACACATGTATGTTTAGAATATTTTCCAAATATTTAACAATGTAATAAAATTGCAAATTAAAGTTTAAAAAATTGAATATTCTTTTTATTTCTCAATGTATGTTTACTTATAAATAGTGAATATAAATTATCACGTTTTTTGCATATATTTTTAATGATATAATGTATCATTTGTTAAAGCTAGTTCAAAGTAGAGAATTAATATATAGCATTTTATTAATTCAATGTTTAATTAATTCGCAGAGATTGGCGAGATCGATATCAATGAATTGCAAGCAAGAAAATTAGAATAAATAGAATCATGGATACGACAATTATAAAATAAAAAAAATTTTCTAGGGGACGATTCATTGAATTTCATAGGGTCTTTGCAGTGCAACGACATAGCAATCTGAAAAAGCTCCAACAAGTGATTTTAATTCTAACGTGATTACTTTGGTAAATCCTGAACTAAACGGAGCTCGTCCTTTGTCTTTTAAAAGTTTTACTTTGCCTCATTTTAATACCAGATGAAACTATTTGAACTTTACTGCGATTCACGTGCTGATTCTTATTGGTAATTGAAATTATTGCAAATTTAAAGTGAATTCATTTCATAGAATATAGAAAAATACATACAACTTCATATGAAAAATTTAAAATATTTGAAAATTAATTTCAAATATCAAAGATTTTTAATTTTAATTTCTAATTTTCTTCTCTCTCTTTTTTTTTCTTTATTATTCTTATTCTTGTTCTTTTATTAAAAGAATTTTAGTTCTCAAACATTAAATATAATGGAATATTAAGTTTAATAATTTTATAAAATTTTAATTAAAAAATTGTATATATTTATAATCTTTCTTAATCTTTCACTTCTTTTTCTTATTATAAATAAAGTGAAAATTTTAATAAGTTTAAAAATTGAAATAATTTGGATACAATTTTTTAGTTTTAAATAGAAATCAATTTTGTTGAAATATAATTGAAAATATTAAAATTCCTTCATTTAATATTGAAGTTTTTTCCATTTGGTCGTAAAATTTACCATTTATATATAACAATAATTCATATGTATTTTTAATAATAAATAAAATTAATAAAATTTAATTACAGAGTTATCTCTCTAATTTCTTCTATTCAATTCTTCTGTTCAAATATCCTACATATTACATAGGTGAATTATTGCAATACTTTAATTATTAACCATCTCGAGAAAAATGCTTTAACATTCTATAAACAAGAATCAAGTCCTTCAAACAAGTATATAACACATCGTTAAATAATATAAATAATTATTAACATAAAATAATACAACATATTTTTTTAAAATTGTTTTTCCTAATTACTTTTTTATTAACACTTATGCATTCATAGTATTTCTATTTACATGAATGATTCTATTTCGCGATTTTTTACAAATACTTCATCTTGTTTTTACATGATCTGAAATATTGACAATTGTCCAGTTTAGAATTCGTAATAGTTCGAATCTGATTGAATAGAAATTATCCACGAATTGGAAATAGAGAAAAACTACGACAACTCCAATCAAATGTCATACTTCTCGAGTTTTTTGCAGCGAACTTTAAAGAAGAAAGTTTTTAATAATAATTAGTTTAAGAAAGCAATTAAATGAAAGATGCAATTATAGCTGCAATGTATCAAATAATATCAATGTTTAATTGTACTTAGAACGATTAATATTAGATATAATGCTATCATGTATCAATGTTCAGGTCACCATTTATCTTAAATAAATAGAAATATCATAAATACACAAGTGATAAATAAATGGAAAAATGGAAACTATTTTATTTCTTTTTTTTGTGATTTTCTTGAGAATGAAGTAAAAAACAAAAAAAAAAAAAGAATTAGGACTTTTTTTTATATATCCCCTTTCAAAATTAACAATTAAATTCAAGACACATTGTATAAAATAATATTTAATACGCAACTTCATGTACTGATAAAGTGGAATTTATCAATAGCCCAACCGTCACCCGTAAACCAACACCAAATCCAACAATCCCTTCAGGTTTCCGTAATTCAAAATTCCATGTGACAGGATCGCCACGAAACCCGTGAGGCAACACTAAATTTAATACTTCAAAATAACCGCACGGGTTTGTGGTGCGAAATCCACAGAAAAATACAGATCCAACTGATATAACCTCCTCGATGATGAATATACCTTACAATATACAAATGTCAACAGGCGTGCCCAACGTGCCTGAACAAAGCAGGGTATTCCAACAACCCCGAATGGTCACGCAACAAATGCAAACTGCCCCTTGTATTTATTCGACAAATCCGCAAGGTATTCGTGTTAACAAAAGTTATTAACAGTTCGTATATATGTGTAACGTAAGGTGTTGATGTATTCGTGGGAGATTCTTTGATTTTTTATAATTGATCTTGATATCAATTATAGGAATCGAAACAAATACAAAATTTGGTATATAAAATATAGGTTTGGTATTTGGTATATAAATTATATATAAAATTTGATATATATAAATAATTTAATTAAGAATTATTTATTAAATTATAAGTAATTGAAGTTTATTCCTTTGATTTAACGCAAATTTAAGTTGTTAATAATATTAATAAATTAATTGAAATAATCAAAAAAAATAAATAATGCAGTATATTTAAAATAAAAAATTATTCTAAAAATTGGGAATAAATAAAATTAAATAACATTGAAATTAATAAACTATTAGAAATATTTTAAAGTATAGAAATATGATATAATCATATTTAAAAAAATAAAGTATTTCAAATTTTGATTTAACTTAAAAATTGACGTAAAACAAAGATTTCATTAAAGTACAAATTAATTTAGAAAAACGAAATTTCAAATCATCTTCTATTTAAAATTTAAAAAATAAAAATAAATTTTGCAATCTAATCAAATGTAAAAATATAGAAACTATAATATTAAATAAATATTGATTTTTAAATTTTAATCTCCATATTTTTTATTATTATATTATAGTCAATTGTTTTTCAAAATCTTTATAAAATATAAATTTTATATAATAAAATAATCATTTTTTTTTTTAAGTTATTCATAACTTATCTTCTCATCATTTACTATTATCTAAATAGTAAATGAAAATATAATCTTTGAAATATATAATATTCAAATTATCTTCA